GCATAGTTGACATTACTGTTGGGGACTAGCTAGTGTCCTGCCCCTTCCCAAAGATGCTGCTCCTAATGCTTGCCCTGTCTTCTGTAAGCAAGATAATAGTGTGTTGTTTATTCATTCAGTAGTTTCCAACTCTTCGTGACGTCATTGACCAGCCATGCTAGAGCTCCCTGTCGGCCATCGCCACCCACAGCTCCTTCAAGGTAAAGCCAGTCACATCAAGGATAACATCCATCCATTTTGCCCTTTGCCAGCCCCTCTTCCTTTTTCCTTCCTTTTCCCCAGCATCATTATCTTCTTCAGCCTTTCCTGTTATCTAATTATGTGGCCAAAGTACTTCATCTTTGTCTCTAATATCCTTCCCTCTAGTGTGCAGTCAGGCATTATTTCCTGGAGTATGGACTGGTTTGATCTTATCACGGTCAAGGCCGCAAATGAAAATATCTGTAATTACTCCTGTAGGCCTCCGATAGACAAAAGAAACCAAGTGGAAATTTAGAATGAATTTTGTTTATATTTTTAACTCAGATTTCATATAGGTTGGATATGTTTCAGATTCTGGAAAACCTGTATTTGCATATACATGCATCATGAGATATCTTGGAGATAAGATTCAAGTCTAAACACAAAAATCATTTAGGTTTCATATACACTTTCTATACATATCCTTGAAGTGACTATATACATATTTTTTAACAATGTTGTCCCTGAAACAAAGTTTGTGCACACTTAACCATCAGAAAAGGAAGGTGTTACTTTCTCAACCACTGATGCCTTTTCAGGAACTCATAAAAGCAGAGATTTTTGAGATTTAAGATCTCTGCTTTGATAATGGAGTGCCTGTCAGTTTGATTTTCTGTGGTATTCAAGCCACCTTTGATTTTATGATTTTGTGCCATTTTTTGCATTTACACAATTTCTAGGTTTGTTCCTGTTAAGGCCCATGGAAAACTTTATGCTAAAACTAGGATGCTGTGTTGTGAGGGGAAATCACTTTTCAGAACAAAAGGATGGATGAGTCATATCACGTATACCTCACTTCCTAGATTATTTTGAAGGCGAGCATGTTTATGTTTGGTAACTATAAATGGAATAAGAGACCCTGAACTCTTCTGTTCTTTGTTTCAAAATCTCCATGCAAAGCATTCAGTGACAAAAAAGAAAAAAAGATCTCTCCATGCAGCTCCACTTAAATTGAAGTCCAAGGGCTTCATAGCTGCAAGTCCACCAAATGATATTCAAAATGTTCTGCATCAGTATTTAAAGAAGCACTTTGATTTATGAAGTCTAGGATGCCCAAGACTGAGGAAAACTTGGCTTCGTTCATTTTCTTGCCCTACCGTATCTTAACAGCCAACTGCAATTGTTCAGAAGACCTGTATTCCCATACAAATTATGGACCCCAAGAATAAAAATCTTGAAGTGTTGAGAGAACATAGCAGTTGGGATGGAAGTACTGGATGATGATTTCAATAAGGAGACACCAGGGACTTATGTTTTTATTGGTTTTATATGGTTTTATATTTTATATGCTAATGTTTTTAATTGTATTTTATGTTGTTGGGGGCATCAAATTGTGCCGACTGTAAACCGCCTTGAGTCACCTTCAGACTGAGAAAGGTGGTATATAAATACAGTAAATAAATAAATAATATGCTAGGCAACAAATTGCAACCATTTTTTCCTTATTAAAAATAGAGATGAAGCCGTCTAAAAGAACCATGTTAAATTAGAAAATTGTACCTCGATTTATCTTCCTCCATTTTTTTATATTCACTTTTTTTCCTTGATGCAGTGTTTTAATCTTCTTTAAACAGTGGCTAACTGAAAGCGGCGAACTCAAAGTAAACGATGCATTTCTAATAATATAAATATGAAAAATAGCAATTGCTCAGGGACTACAACTGAATATATTATAATCCCGGTTCATTTTCATCATTAGCACGTTTCCATTTCCTTTAATGTGCTCTTGCATTCTCAAATCATACCACAAATGCAGAGATACAGATGTATGCATAATATGTATATATATATTTTCATCTCCTGATTAAAAAAAACACTCTCCTTCCAAAAAAATAAAAGAAGGAAGGAAAGAAGGGAGGGAGAGCTCTATTTCCCTAAAGCACCCTTAGTGTTTTGCCCTATCCAGACAGGGCAAACTGGATCCGTGGTGTTACATTCCTGTCAAATTCCACTCATCTGTCAAAGTAGTGGATTATTTCTTGAGAGGCTGGAATTGGCTGCCTTGCATCAGAACACCATCAATCTTACTCATGTAGGGTGCAGGCTGGCTGCCTTGCAAAGTCTCACAAGAGGAAAAGCTCTGCTGTTCCTAAGCAGGTGATGAGGCAGCTGTAAAACCTTCACTCTGCCCGTATCACAGCCCCGGTGAAAGATATGTCATATTCCCCATCTCTCCGGTACTTTGTATGCGCCCTGTGTCATGCTCTTCTAGCTTCATAAAGAAGGTGATTTTTCAATCTTAGGCAAATGCTGCAAACCAGCAGAAGCTCTATCCCTCATTTTTTCTCATCATGTCACTTGTTTCAACTGATTGTGCAAAAATGAGATTAGATTTTCCTTTTGACTATTTATTTATTTAGGAGTTTGTTTATCCATTGTGCTGCCACTCGTGTCGCTTCATGGCTAGCAATCCCAATACCCTTCTGTTTCTGGAGGTGTGTTTGTATTCTTGCATTAATGACTCCCAAAGGAGGGCATACAAACTGGTTGTTCTACTAACAATTAAGATGACAGCTGTCAAACAGCAAGACAGGCATGATTCATCAAAGTTTGAGACTCAAAACATAAGACAGAACGTGCAAACCACTGGGATCCACGAGCACTATAGGCATACAAGTGCAGCTTTGAGAGCAAAGTTCTTGTCTTATTCAATCATTCCATTGATTCCCTATGACTTTTGTAAAGTTGGGTTCTAGTCTATTACAGTAAACTCTCAGTGAACCAGGATTCTTGGGGATTGGTAGATGCTGAATAAATGAAGTTTTCTGGTTGCTTAAGAGTTACTAGGAGCCTCTGGTGGCACAGCAGGTTAAACCACTGAACTGCTGAACTTGCTGACTGAAAGGTCAGCGGTTCAAACCTGGGGAGTGTGGTGAGCTCCTGCTGTTAGCCCCAGCTTCTGCCAACCAAGCAGTTCTAAAACATGAAAATATAAGTAGATCAATAGGTACTGCTTTGGTGGGAAGGTAATGGTGCTCCATGCAGTCATGCCAGCCAATTGACCTTTGAGGAGTCTATGGACAACGTTGGCTGTTCGGCCTAGAAATGGAGATGATTACCATCCTCAGCAGTCAGACATGACTAGACTTAACATCAAGGGGAAACCTTTACCTTTACCTATTCCTTAAGAGTTACTATTAAAAATAGGCCTATCTAATACTATACCCCATAGTACATTGTACTATAAACTCTGTATTGACTTGATATTAATATTGAAAGCTAGTAATTAAAAGCAAATAAAGAAAATGTAACTTAATGTAACACAGCTTTACTGTATAATAAAAACATCTTTGTGAATATAGCGTGCAATTTTAGTTAAATATTTTTCTGGTTGCTTGAGTTCTGCTTAATTGAGAGTCTACTATACTTTATTGTCTAGGAAAGAGGGTTAAAACTCCTGAAGGCTTGAAAATGATTCCACCACCTCTTGATGTTTATGGTGTATGATCTCATGCTTCAATCCATCCATATTCCCAAATTAATCTGGTTTGACATGACACATTAAAATTTCATCATTACTACATTTCACCTAATGAAAGATGTTTTCCAGGGTTGTTGCCATCTCTCATTTGCGTGAATGCACTGATGCCAATTGATTATGTCGTGGATACTTCCTGGACAGTAAGCTCATGGAACAAAGTCCAAAAATGAGTAGTCAGCCTTGAAATATTACACTGTTGGTATCGACTTGCAGAATAGCAACCTAATGAATGCCCTAGACTCAATCTTACCTTAATCAGTTTCTGAGGAAAAATCCTTTCTGCCCTTTCAACCATTGAGCATCACTGACATTATTATGCAGCATATCAAACAGTATTGTTCATGTTATCACATAGGCGCACAACTCCAAAAACCACGAACGGCAATCTTTGATAAATTCAACCATTATTTATGCCTACTGCAAGTATTGCAAGAAGAATGAATAACTTCATAAGACTAGAAGGGTTGACAAAGTTTATCTGGACATAGCTTTCAGCACACTTACCTGGAAGTAAATCCCACTCATCACAGGGAATGTACTTCTATGTAAATGTGCACACAATTGTCCTGTAATTTCACAGAAGGTTGTCATGCCCACCCTTACTCTCATACTGTATTCTTAAATACATTTTGCACATTGCAGTCATTTAATGCATGGTTCTGCTTTCTTTTGTTTTGTTTTCTCTCTTTCCACTTGAACAAAATTTGCTACTGAAGAAATGCCACTGCCTCTCCATTTGCATTCTCAGCCCCCAGCAAACGTGGGCAAGCAAACTCTTCTGTATGCAAGAACTGATCTTTAATATGTATATGTGTAGAGAGAGGTGGAACTTGTTTCTCAATTGGCAAATGTAAAGCAAAGCAGAATCATCTTAAGTTACATAACTCCATGATTTCCTTTCTCCACAGGAAAAACGAAAGCTTATTCTCTTTCCACTCAAACAAATACCATATTATAATGGGGAATGACTAAATGATGATCTAAATGGGTTTCCCATGGTGATCCACCTTTACAATACCAGAAAACCGACTGAAACACAGACACAGAGCACTAAATAGATTTAGCATTTTCACACCAGGTGATCGATTATTAAGTTGATTTCGGTGTCATACAGAAAGGCAACTTATACAGCTTCAGATGTAAAACAGCATCCGGAGAGCAAGTGAGACATACTCATAATACATACATATTCACACATGTATCAAATGCATCGCAGTTCTCTTCCTAAATGACAAAGTGACTTTGTCTCACAGCATCCACAATGTGAGGACAGTCCTACCTGGTCTGTGCAGGTGATGCTGCTGGAAGGTGTGGTGGAGGGAGCCCTGACAGAGTAGCATGGCACATGCACTTATCCACAAATACAGGACCCAGGACGTTGAAGAGACCATGGCCATTCTCTAAAGGAGAGGTTAGACAAGAATTAGCAACCCCCAGCAAACAAATCCATCTTCTGTTTGCACTCAGATCCAACTTGGCTTATGAATCACATTGAAAGGGGCACATTGGCAGGATACCTAAACTTCCTCATAGCATCATTGAGTTGGAAGAGACCTTGCGGCCCATCCAGTCCAACCCCTTGCCAAAAAGCAGGAAAATCACATTAAAAGCACCCCCGATAGATGGCCGTCCAGCCTCTGTTTAAAAGTCTCCAAAGAAGGAGCCTCTTCGTCCAGGCTGCAGTTGTCACACAACAAAGAGCCCCTCCAAGAGAGCCAAAGAAAAGATTACTAGATTGACTTTAAATAATTTAGAGGCGCACATGAAGTTGCTACTATGGCTAACAAAAGCCCGAGTGGCTCTGCTGGAGGTAGGATTGTGCCTACAAAAGCTCCTGTCACAACAAATGGGTCAGTCTTTAAGGTTCCACAGGATGCTCTTCTCACAGAAGCTAAGATATGCCTGCTCCTGCTATTTATATCTTGAGAAGGTGAGAGAAAAAGAATGCAGTTACATATAACTCTAGAAAAAGCAGAAATAGGTTTCTTGTTTTGTTTTGAGGGTGTTTTTTTTTTTTGTGGCTTCAGATTGGCTACATGACAATTACGCCACATTGGTAGACAATTATTTTGACTGATCTTTGGGTGGCAAATGCTGGATCCACTCCAAAGCAGAGTAATGTGGAACACAGAGGTTGCATCCCAGCCACCAAATGTTTTCACTTTCTGTTGACTAGGCACACAGCAAGAGTCCCAGATGCAAGTGTGTCCTTTGCCTGTGAAGGCTGCATCTCACAACCTTTAGGGAGTCCAGCTGCATACAGAGAAAAACTAATTTGGGGGCAGTGGGGGGAATCTCAGGACATTGTAAAGCACACTGTAAATAATAACTTGACAATCTGCAGCAGGATGCACTGGAAACCAATTCTCCCTTCACAACCCAGTAAGTCTAATACCTCTCCAGTCAGGACTGAATCGTTTTTAACTTAGAAGGCCATTAATTTTTAATTGCAATGTTGTCTGCTTACCAAAGTAATTGTTTCTCAGAATCATGCTCGTCTAACCCACATTCTAATTTTTTTCTTGTCTTCAGCCCAAGAACATCTAAAGAACATTTGCACAATTAGACTGGATTTCAGAGGGAGCAGAGAAAGTGATAAGGATGTTTGTTATGTTCAGAAATCTAATTGAATCAAAACTTTGAAGGAAATCTCGTTGTAAAATCTCGTTATTTTTGTGTGGTAGTAATGAGTGACACATACCACAGTGGAGCAGAGCAATTATCAGCATTCTCCCAATTGTTCATATAAGTTTTGTGTGTGTGTCTGTGATTGCGATCTATAAACAGCGTGAGTTGAACACCCCTGTTTCAAAGCCTTTAAGAATTGCCAGGTTTTTCAAGGCTTGGCTGCGCTTGGATCAGCCACTTCCTTTAACAACACCTTCTGCTGCATTTCACATTGCCAGATTAATCAAACTTCAGGCACACTCCTCCGTCAGCCAATGACAAGATCGCACTTTATATCTAATAATCCAATCAGCTGTACATCATTCCCACCATCACCTCCCCACAACACCTGCCCCCACCCACAGGAAGGGAGAAAAGGCTTTCAAGCCCAAAGGAACCTCTTTTCTCATGCTAAACAAGGAGGTTGGGCTTCACCATTCTTTTCAGTACAAAGGGAGTCAGGAGTGACCCATTGTTAGGATATGTTCAGGCCGGGTGAACACTGAACAGCTACCTTCAGGTCAGCCCTAGCGAGTGTGCCCAAGCACAATCGGTGGTCTCATCATCATCATTACTATGATCACACAATGTAGTGGATGCCGTTATTATTATTGATATGATCTCGACAAACTGCTCCTTTGGAGAAAAAACAAAGACAAAGCTAACTGGATCAAATGCAACTTTTCCTGACTCAAAGGAGAGACATAATTAACTGCAAACTAGCAAAACAGGGTTGTGATCAGCGGGATGCTGCTTAATTCCCTCTCTCTGCGTATCTGCTGTACTTATTGGGTCTATAAATACTTGTTCTCCCTGCTGTTCACTTTTGTCTGTGCTATAGTTCTGTCTTCCTTTTCCTGCACACACACACACACTTAGCCACTTATCCCTTAACACCCTTCCGCCTCCTTCCATCCTTCTACAGAAACATCCCCCACAAAGAGTTCTCCTTTCCATAAAGAGAGAATGAACTACCAATATTAAAAAAAAACTCTAAAATCAGGGCAGTAAATAAAGGACAACACTCAGAAGACAGGGGAATTCCAAACAAGAAACAACCAGGGCCAGTTAACACCTCCCAACAAAGGATTGTTGGGAGAAAAATCCCAGTGCGATTTTCCTGATTCTTGGTAGCAGGGTTGGACTGGATGGCCCATGAGATCTCTTCCAATTCTATGATTCCCCCAGGCAGGAAACAGCCAGGCTTTGAAGCTGCCAGGTTATTTAATGCTAATCAAGCTGGCCAATTACAACATCCACATTTGTCTTAGGCAGGCAAGAGTTCTTTTTCCCATCCTGGACATTGTTCCACAGATATATAAACCTCACTTGCCTAGTTTCCAACACCTCACAACCTCTGAGGATGCCTGCCACAGATGTGGGTGAAACGTCAGTAGAGAATGCTTCTGGAACATGGTCATACTGCCCAGAAAACTCACAGCAACCCAGAGAATGAACTGTTACCTGCAGACAAAGCTGGCGCCTCTATTCCTTGACCTCCACTCTAATTATTCTATCCCTTGACCTCCACCCTCATTATCCTCATAATGAAAGAAATTAAAGGAAAGGGGGCCTTTTAGCTGACTCATATACCAATGTGAAATGCATATTAGGAAGAACTTCCTGACAGTGAGAGCTGCCGGGCAATGGAATAGGCAGCCTGGGAATGTGATGGAGTCTCTCCTTCTCTGGAGGTTTTTAAGCAGAGGCTGTATAGGATGCTTTCATTGTCAAGGGTGCTTTGATTGTGCTTTCCCTACATGCCAGGGGTTGGACTGGATGACCTTTGGGGTCTCTCCCAACTCTAGGAGTCTGTGGCTCTATGATTATGGTACAAAAGCGCTTTATAAACAACCTGGCAAGTGGGGCAAAAGTTAAAATAAGACAACGGAAACTTCTGAAGCTTCTTGCGCTCACCTCCCCGCACCTCATATGTCCCCTTCAATCTCAAGTATTTACCTTGAACTACCCTGCTTTCAAAGCCTACCAAACCCATGTTCGATTTACAAGCAAGGCTTAGATGTGCTGCTCTGAATCTCAGGGTGCATCTATTATGTGATTTGGCAATTCAAATCTATTTCTGCTTCCAAAATAATCCCAACACGAACCTGCCCAAATCTCAAGAGAACAGGCATGGGCAAACTTGGGCCCTCCAGGTGTTTGGACTTCATAGATTCATAGAGTTGGAAGAGACCTCATGGGTCATCCAGTCCAACCCCCTGCCAAGAAGCAGGAAAATTGCATTCAAATCACCCCTGACAGATGGTCATCCAGCCTCTGTTTAAAAGCTTCCAAAGGGGGAGCCTCCACCACACTCTGGGGCAGAGAGTTCCACTGCTGAACAGCTCTCACAGTCAGGAAGTTCTTCCTAATGTTCAGATGGAATATCCTTTCTTATAGTTTGAAGCCATTGTTCTGCATCCTAGTCTCCAGCCTCAGGCCCCTTCTCTCTATGACTTCCTCTCACATATTTATACATGGCTATCATGTCTCCTCTCAGCCTTCTCTTCTTCAGGCTAAACATGCCCAGATCTTTAAGCCGCTCCTCATAGGGCTTGTTCTCCAAACCCTTGATCATTTTAGTCGCCCTCCTCTGGACACATTCCAGTTTCTCAATATCTCTCTTAAGCGGCTGAGGGGGGAAAGGATGGGGCCTGAGGCTGTTAGGAATGGTGGGAGTTGAAGTCCAAAACATCTGGAGGGCACAAGTTTGTCCATTCCTGCTGTAGAAGGGATGCATCACTAGCTCAATGCTATGGAGTCATTCAAGTTGGGGTTTTGGAAGGTCTTTCGCCTCCTCTGCCCAAGAGTGCAGGTGCCTCACCAAAACTACAACTCCCAGGATCCCATAGCACAGAGCCATGGCCGCGGGAGGGGTCTCAAACCGCGTTAATTCAGCGGTGTAGATGATGCCCCCCCCCCATTCCAAGTCTCTCTCGTTTCCTTCCTTACCTGAGTCTTGCAAGCCCTTCGAGCAGAGCGCGCCAGGAGCGGTCATTGGAAAAGCTTTTAACACTTTGTCACATCCATTTGCACCACGATCAGGGGGAAAAAATACCGAAGGGGAAAAATAGAGAGAGAGAGAGAGAAATGAGAGAAACCGAAGCAAAAAAAAAAGAAAAGGATCTTCTTCCTTCTTCCCCCCGTCCAAATGTTGAGTGAGGGTTGGATATGTCTTCTTCTTGCTCCCTTCCTTCTTCCTTTCCCCGCTCAAATCCTCTTCCAGGAGCCTGGGTTTCTTCCTCCACCTTTCTCAGAAAAGTAGCCAAGGTTTCAAGGATGGCGAGCCTGTCATCTTTCCCTTCTTTCCCCGCTTTTTAAACCATCGGAAAGGGATCCAGAGAGAGAGGGGGGGGGATGCGCAGCTCCCGGGGCGCTTCAACAGGAGGGTCGCTGAGTGCAGGCTTGCAGGGAAGGTGCCTCTTTCTCTCTTTCCCTCTTTTCTTTCTTTCTCGCTCTCTCTTTCTCTCCGGCGCAGAAAGGAAAAAGCAGAGGTAACGTAGGAACGGGAGGAGGAAAAGCCCCGCTCGCTTATACACTACGGTTAAGTACCGAGAGTCTATTTCAATGCCTCCCCGGCGGGGGAAAGGATCGCGTGTCTTAAAGGGAGAGGAGCCGCGGCTTGCCAGCCTCACCTGCCACCCAGGGACACCTTGCCCCTCGGAAGAACCCAGAGCCTAAGCCCTCCAGTCCCTCACACGCAAACGGGGTCTGGCTCTCTCTCACAAGCCTCTCTCTAGGTCTCTCTCTCTCTCTCTCTCTCTCTCTCTCTGCTTTCCGCCTCCCTCTAACATCCGAGAAAAGGGAGGGGAGGCGAGAGGGCGCGGGTGGAGAAGCCGGAGCCTTTGGGGGGCCAGACAAGGCGGCATCTACACTGGAGGAGGAAGGCAGCTGGGCGCCACTTGAACGGCCATGGCTCAAGGCTGTGCAGCCCTAAGAGCTGTGACTCTATAAGGTCTTGAGCCTTCTCTGCCCAAGAGTGGCGGTGCCTCGCCAAACTACACATCCCACAGCCATGAAATAAGACTCTGAAATTGGTGCCCAACGACATTCATTTCTACCAGTCATCAGGAAACAGGTAGACCATGTCAGGACGTTTGGAAACGTTCCTATTGATTAATTATTGTATTGCCCTGCTGCCAACTTTCTCTCAGGAATTCCAGGTTGGGTAAGCTTGTGGCTGGGGAATCATAAAGTTGAAAAAGACCCCATGGGCCACCCAGTCCAACCCCCTGCCAAGAAGCTGGAAAAAAATTGCATTCAAAGCACCCCCGACAGATGACCATCCAGCCTCTGCTTAAAAGTCTCTAAATGAGGAGCCTCCACCACACTCTGGGGCAGAGAGTTCCACTGCTGAACAAGTTAGAAAGTTCATAGAATCCTAGAGTTGGAAGAGACCTTGTTGGGCATCCAGTTCATACCCCTGCTAAGCCTCTGCTTAAAAGCTTCCAAAGAAGGAGCCCCCACCACACTCTGGGGCAGAGAGTTCCACTGCTGAACAAGCTCTCGCAGTTAGAAAGTTCATAGAATCCTAGAGTTGGAAGAGACCTTCTGGGGCATCCAGTTCATACCCCTGCTAAGCCTCTGCTTCAAAGCTTCCAAAGAAGGAGCCCCCACCACACTCTGGGGCAGAGAGTTCCACTGCTGAACAAGCTCTCAGAGTTAGAAAGTTCATAGAATCCTTGAGTTGGAAGAGGCCTTGTGGGGCATCGAGTTCATACCCCTGCTAAGCCTTTGCTTAAAAGCCTCCAAAGAAGGAGCCTCCATCACACTCTGAGGCAGAGAGTTCCACTGCTGAACAAGCTCTCACAGTTAGAAAGTTCATAGAATCCTAGAGTTGGAAGGGACCTCCTGGGGCATCCAATTCATACCCCTGCTAAGCCTCTGCTTCAAAGCCTCCAAAGAAGGAGCCTCCACCACACTCTGGGGCAGAGAGTTCCACTGCTGAACAACTCTCACAGTGAGGAAGTTCATAGAATCATAGAGTTTATTTATTTATTTATGTATTTATTTATTTAAAACATTTATATTCTGCCCTTCTCCCCCCGAAGGGGACTCAGGGCGGAGCACAGCATATACACGGCAAACATTCAATGCCGGGACACAAATTCACATACACCACATAAATATTAAAAAACATTTATCAAAATATTAAAATACACCATTTAAAACCATCCTAGTCATCCTAGAATCCGAGAGTTGGAGGAGACTTCATGGGCCATTTAGTCCAACCCCCTGCTAAGAAACAGGAAAATCACATTCAAAGCACTCCTGACATATGACCTTCGAGTCTCTGTTTAAAAGCCTCCAAAGGAGGAGTCTCCACCACATTTTGGGGCAAAGAGTTTCACTGCTCTCAGAGTGAGGATATTCTTCCTCATGTCCAGGTGGAATCTCCTTTCCTATAGTTTGAAGCCATTGTTCCACATACTAGTCTCCAGTGCAGCAGAAAACGAGCCTGCTCCCTTCTCCCTATGACTTCCCCTCACATATTTATATTCATGTCTCCTCTCAGCCTTTTCTGCAGGCTAAACATGGCCAGCTCTTTAAGCCACTCCTCGTAGGGCTTGTTTTCTAGGCCGGTTATCATTTTAGTCACCCTGCCAGGCAAGGCCAGATGGAAAGGGGCAGCTTTGGGTAGAAAGAGAAGTCTCTAAGGTTACAGTAGAAGGCACATGCTTGATCGTCCATGAGGCAGCCCATACCAGAATGTCTGGGAATGGCCCTATTTGTTATTTATTACTTTTTAAATTCATTTATTTTTGCCCTGCTTTTCTCCTAATATCGGGACTTGAGGAGGCTAACAATAAATATGACACAAGGCAAATTAAAACAACGCAAATGCATTATATATATTTATTTTATTTCTACCCTGCTCTATCTCACCCCAAGGGGGAATCTGAGCAGCTTACAAGTTTTTGGCAATATTCAATGCAACAATTATGCAAGAACCACACAATACATACCACAGTTGACCATTAAAATCAAATATATATGTTTACACCATTATGTTATTAGACCTTTAAGCATAAAAACATTAAAATACATTAAATATTATATACATGTTCCCTTAAAAATCCCACTTTCAGCATCCCCTGCAACCTGCCCCTCATCAGTTTATGAATGCCCAAAGGTAGAGGTATGTTTTCATCTGCCTACAAAAGGCAAGTAGGGATGGGGCCATCCTGGTCTCTCTGACAAACACAGTTCGGATGCATATCTCTGGGATTGTACATATATACTCACAAACATTGTCTCAGATTGCTAATATTGATATTAATCAGGGGTGTGTAACCATGGAAGACCAGGGGACTGCATTAACCCTCTAGGGCATTTAGTAGGGTCCCAATCTCCCCACATCTGCTGTGCTAGAATCAAATCCATTTGGGGGGGACGTGCTGGCATGTCTTTAAGCCATTAGAGTGCATTTAGGATCTCTTGTGGGGGGGGGGTGGATTTACAATCCAGTGTTTTGGACATGACAGCCACTTTGGCTTCCACATGGAAGGAAAGTGATATACAAATTAAATAAATAAGCAAATGGCAAGTGAGGAGACCCCACATTAACTGCATTTTCAAAACTGGCTCAAATGAGCCCAAACATCAATTGTTTTTATTTCCCATGTTGATTGCCATATAGAAAGTAGGTATATGTGCACCTAACCATCTAACTTTGTGTGTATCATCCAAAGTTAAGTCCCAACACATTCAGTCAGGCTTACATCCGGGTAGTATTGCAGCCCAAATCTTACTTGCAAGACTCCATTGGGATCATTATACACTGATCGGTGTCTTTGTTTGTCTGACAGCACACAGTGTTTTCTAATTCTGAAAGAATGCAGGATGTGATGGGAAAGAATAAAATGCCTCCTCCTTCCTTAACATCCTACCCCACCATGAGGGCTAGACATGAAGAACAATTTATTGCAGTCGTTTATCTGACGCCAGCAACTTAAGTGGTCATTTACAGGAATGAACTCCTTTTCCCTCCTCCCCTTTTCTCATATAGTAATCTGGCAATAATGACATTCAAGTGGCAATCCTATGCCTGCTTTCTTGGGAGGGAGCAAATCCCACTGATCTCACTAGGGCCGGCTTCCAAATAAACATGCACAGCATCCGGTTGCCTTTCTAGGCTTACTTGAAGGCAAGGTTTTGCATTAAATCAGATTCACTGCTAAGCAAACATGTTTAGGATCAGCCTGCATCATTTGCAGTAAGTACACAATAGTGGCATACAGACATATTTACAAAGGCCAGTTTTGCATGCTATGAAATAAAATACAGGACTGTGTTCACTATAAGGCTCACCACTGGCTGCAAACCACAATGTCATCCACTGTATTTTTGTATTGAATCACAAATACGTGGCTGGTGAAGAGTAGATTTTAGTACTTACCAGCTATATTGTAGATGATGGTGACAATGGTGATGATGATGGAAAAGGATGAAGAAGAGGAGAAGAAAGACATATTACCAGAATTACTGGAGCAGCAACAGAAACAATAAGAACAGCAACAAAAACCCTTTTTGCTTTGAATCAGGGATGTCAACTAGCACAGAGAGCCATATAAAAAGTAATGTACCGATAGTCTCTTGAATGACTTTTAATGTCTCCTTAGCCACCATTACATTTTACTATGTAGTATAAATATATACTAGTGGAAGTTATCTGGCCTCACTTGGGTTAAAAAAAAGAGAAAACTTTGGCCCTATCATTTTGACTCCAGTTGCATCCACTACACTGTCAAATTAGTACAATTTAACATCATTTTGACAGCCTTGGCTCAGTGCTATAGAATCATGGCGGGTGTAATTTCACAAAGTCTTTAGCCTTCTCTGCCAAAGAGTACTGATATCTCACCAAACTATAAATCCCATGATTACATACATGGCAGTTAAAGTGGTATCAAACTGATTAATTCTACAGTGTAGATGCATTGTCCTTTCTCCCACTCACCCACAACACTTTTCTCCTGCTGGGTCTCTTGTTCTCTATGGGGTACAAACTGACTGACTCATTGACTCCTGTTTTTGTTCTCTCTTCCTCCTCTCTTTCCTTCTCCCTATCCCAGTTTTCTAGTTCCATAAATCAAGACAGACATGTTTCTACATTAGGCAAATTCTTTGAAAATCATGGGTAGAGTGATAAAAAGGTTGGCCAATATGGCACAAGACTCATTTCACATGTAAAGGTACTCTATTCAAAGTTGCTTTATATTCTGGGTACCTGGAAGATGTATGGAATTTTAAAAAGCGTCAAAGAAATAATAATAACAATCATCATCATCATCATCATCATCTTGATTTATACCCTGCCACCATCTCCCATAGGGACTCGGGGCGACTCACAAAGCACTCAAGCATAAAATACAATATATCAACATGAAGCAAAGAAAGAAAAGCAAAGAAAAATAGGAGGGCAATGTGGTGATTGGTGTTTCCATATTTTAGAATCAGATTTGTTGATTCCTGTGAGACACAAGCTAGGTTCAAGCATTTTCCTGAATATAATGACAGCTATAACTTGAGATTGGCTTATGGGTGACACTTAAACCCCTTCCCCATCCCTGAACACTTGGAAGTTAGCATTTTTCACTTTAACTGCTAAGATCTAAAGAGGGCTCTGTAATCACATTCAGTTAAGCTCAGTTACAAAGCTTCTATGATCGGGAATCCAACCAATCATGATTTCTAATCATAGGATATAACTAGATGCAGCAGCTTCAGTTCTTTGTTCTGAAGGACCAAAAAGGACACTCAGCAACAGTGATAAGGGTTTGTGCACATCCCTATCCCCAGAATTATCTCCATGTGTATTCAGGTGACTATATCAACAGAGCAACAGTATAGCAAAATACTGTTCAACACACAATGAAATT